TGGTCTTTCATTGGTTTTGTCTATTTGCTGTTCTCACAATAGAAAAATCTTGACTAATTTGTGTGACATACACCTATTTTCAAATCTTACAACCCCAAATAACTTATCACAAATAGAGTGTAATTTAAAAGAAATTGTTATCACAAATCTAATTAAATTAGGAAATATCCATAATGGTGTATGACTTGTTATTAATACTAAGCATAATGAGACAATTAAAGTAAATGGATTCTGTGAAAAATGCCATTGGTAATTTTATAGGTTGCATAGAATCTATAATTGCTTTAAGTAGTACAGTCATTTTCAAAATATGGAAAAGACTGTAAATAGCCAAAGAATATTGAGAAAGAAAAGTAGAGCTGGAGGAACCATGTTCCTTGACATCAGACTATACTACAAGTTACAGTAATCAAGGCAATAGGGTACTTGCACCAAAAAAAAAAAAAATAGGTTGATGGAATAGGCTCGAAAGCCTAGAGATGAACCCAGGCACCTATGGTCACCTAATCTATGGCACAGGAGGAACAGATATACAGGGGAGAAAAAGACAGTCTCTTCAATAAGTGGTGCTGGGAAAACTGGACAGTTACATGTAAAAGTGTGAAATTAGAACACTCCTTAACATCATACACACACACACACAGAATTCAAAATAAATTAAAGACCTAAATGTAAAGTGGGACATGATAAATCTCTTAGAGGAAAACATAGGCACAGCACTTTTTGAGACAGATTGCAGCAAGATCTTTTTTGATTCACCTCCTGGTTAAATAAATATAGTCTAATAAAATTAGTATAAAAATAAAATAAATGGACATAACTGAAACATTATTTTGTTGAAAATGCTTTTTAAATGTTTGCCTGTAGAAAATATTTGCAATGTGATTGGTTGTCTAATATCTGAAAGAGTTGAAGTATTCTATTTTTAGAGCTTCCCTGACTGAGGAAAGAATTCCAACAGACTATGTCACTCGATCTGTTGAAGAACAGAGAAGTTCAGAAATTTGTTCCTCCATTGCATTGTCCTATAAATCAAGAACTAGAGCTCAGGTATAACTTTTTAATTTTTTCAGTTTCCCTGGGAACAGGCAACAGTCTCTTAGGGTCTGGAACGTCCTTTTTTTCCAGTACATCTCACAGCATCATATAGAAATATGTTGCAATGACTCGCCAAGTTAGATGCTTGCTTAATGTCAGCAATTTTCTTTCTGAAACCAATTCTGCACTCAGCATCAGGAGAAAATATTGAAGACAGACTTTGTGCCCTTTGTGCTTGGAAGATTTATATTTCCTGGGATTAAAAAAAAGAAAGCAACCGCATTTATCATCATGGGATCTTGAAAAGAAATAAGAAAAAAATGAAACAGAGAAAGCATTTTATTATTTGAATATTCTTAAAAAAATGTCTAAAGCAGCTTCTTATTTTACAAAATTGAAAAAAAAATCTAGCATTTGAACAGGGGAATCACTTCCTATGTGAAAAATTAAGATCTGCTAACACTAAAAATTTCAGGAGAATTTATAACAGAGGAAGTGTTATCTTTATATTTTTATGTTCATGGCTGGAGGATAAGTTTCAACTAATTGGTTCTAAAAAGTATTTAATTAACTTCAAAAAAATGTTGAATTTTTTTCATTTATTTTTATTAGCTGGAGGCTAATTACTTTACAATATATTTTTATATATTTCTTCAGCAAACTTTAAATTCTTTTTCTTACATATTTAGTAAAAATTGTTAGATGCCAAAAACTTTCCTGTGAGCTGTACTATTTTAAATATCTGTAGTGAACAAACTAACATTTTAAAAAGGCTTTTGTTCACTTAACTTATCATTTAAAAATAATTTTACAACAAATAATTTTATCTCATCTTAGAAGAACTATTAAATGAACTCAGAATATTAGTGACAACTGTTACAGTAAGTCTACACTAAGTCTATTTTTACTATAGCATGTCCTGAGTTCAGTAGTTTACTTACATTATCCAATTTCATGCTAATAATAAACTTGAATTGTTTTACTAATCATACATTACATACTTGGGGAAGTGAGATGCAAAGAAATTAAGTAAATGCCTCACAGTTATAAAGATAAGAAACACAAAAGCATGTGTCAAACCCAGGTATTTCACTCTAAAACACATGTCCTTTCCAAATTAATTAAATAGCTTTACTCTATAAAAGAGAAAATCTATTAAATATTTTCACTGTACTTATAATTGTGATATAAACACTGAATTCTTGCCACTAATAATCTGGCAAGATCCATTTAAATCATGTAATATTTACCTGAAGTCATTCCAACATCTTTAGGGTTTCAAAGATGGCAAAAGATATTTTTTTAAATAATGGAATGCAAACACTGTGATTTAAAACCTGGGTTTAATATATAGTAACTTAAATATGAATGCAAGTAATCATAACCACTGATGCTAACTTAAAAAATATAACAGGGTTGCTTTATCAGTGTGGCAAAAGCAGAGGTTTATTTCTGGACAGCCTGAGTTTTTGTTTTCTTTTCTTGAGCACCCGTTGTTTATTTGAGAGTGAAAGTGAATGTCACTCAGTCATGTATAACTCTTTGTGATCCCATGGACTGCAACATGCCAGGTGTCCCTGTCCATACAGGTTATGAAATTCTCCAGGCCAGGTTACTGGAGTGGGTAGCTGTTTCCTTCTGTGGGAGTGTTCCCAACTTGGTCCAGGGATTGGACTAGGTCTTTCTCATTGCAGGCAGATTCTTTTTTTTTTTTTTTTTGCGTTTAATATTTTTATTTTTAACTCTTCTTTGGTAGTACAAAAGTTGTAGAAGTACAAACCAGACAGTTAAAAATACATTTAACACTCAAAATGGTGAAAAATTCCCTTTACAAATTTTTACATCGAGGTGGTAGCTGACTCATTTATTACATCAGAAGTTAGTCCATCATTAGTGTTTTATACAGTAACTTTGTTGTGGCTTCCCAAGCCTCCTAAAAAAGGAGGAAAAACACAAAAGGCCTGTAAACATCAGTTGCACTGGGGACACTTAAGGATTCTTATTAGATAATATAAACCAGTAAAAAGCTCATATGTTGAAAATATTGAATGCTTAACTCTTGGCATATTTGGAAGCCAGTCAGACAGCAACTGCTCAAGTATTAGAAAATACTTAAAACATATGTACTCTTGGTATAAATACAATTTTAAATATTTTGAGTATTTTCTTGCCTGTTGTATTGTTATTTAAAAAAGTGCTCTGACCTGAATAAAATTAAAAAATAATTAAAGCTGAAGAATATCTTACCCTTTTATCCCTCATCATTTTGAGGGCATGATATTTTTAAAACAAAAAATGATTCCTTTTTATAAAACTACTGGTCTAGACTGCATGTATATTATTTATACTAATGCACACCTCCCCCCAAAAATTCTGATATTGCTACTTTCTGGAGCACAGTGATATTTATTTCCATATTGCCTTCTCCTGGTCCACTGTGTATATGCATGCACACGTACACCTTTTAATTAGTTGCCAGCAAAAATTCACATGAAACTGAACCTACCATTCACTTAAAAGGTTAGAAATTTTTAGTCTGGTGCCAGAAAAAGAATGGAATGAGTATATTTACAGTAAACACTTTACATTTTCATAAGAATTATCTTTTGGGAGTAAGTGAGAACTGTGTTTTCTTTTTGCTATAGAGGAAGTGCCCCGAGGCACCACAGCAATACTGACAGGTGGCAGGTATTGGGGAAGTCCTTACTCCTGGGCTCCTTTCCTCTGGGCCCAGACCTACCGTAAATATACTACTTTCCCTCACCTCTGGGTTCTTTCAGGTGTTCTATAAACTGCACAGTTGTTGTTGTTTTTTAAAAGTGGGGTATTCCAGGCCTACAGGAGAAAGTAACCCTCAAGAATCCTTTAAAAATAGGCACTAGTTACAAGATGGAGAACAGGAAGACCACCAAGGAAAACATACCAGAGGAAGGTGCAGGCCCATCTTACATCAGAAGTGAGATTGTTTTGTTTTGGTCTTGAGTTATCAAAACAAGACTTTTTTACAGTGACTTTAAACCATTTTCCCCCTTATCCAACGGCTAAATAAGATTTGCTTAGCTTGAGTTAAAAAAAACAAAAAAACTCAATATTTTATAAGTGACCTAGGAGTGGCATGCTGGTAGCAGGTCAGTGCTGATTTCTGGTCTCCGAATCCAAAGTCTAGCATCTGGTTCCCTCTGAGTCCATAATCTCTTGCTGGGGGATCAAGTACCCAGGGCTAGTCTACGTCTTCAAGGAGCCTTCACCACCGAAGATGCATCTTTTATTTTCTATTACAGGTAAACTGTAAGAGGATCGTCTTACAGCTGAGATCCAAGGGTTGAGGGAACAGAAGGACAGTACGCAGACGTGTACACACACGCGTGCGCACACACGCACTGAGCATTAGCTCAGGCCGTACACAAATAGTTCCACTGTGCATCGTGATCGTACTGGGGAAACTGCAGTGTGTATATCAAGGCCACGGATGGGGGATTGGGAGGGACAGTGGTTGGGAAGATGAAAAAAATGAGCTCTTTTCCTCCTTGGATATGGAATAAAATTTTTCATCAGATATTTTTTAAACCAAAATTTGTTTCAAAGCAAACTGAATTCTGTATCCAGCATAGCAACAATATTCCCTTTTAGCTTTCATCCACTTGCCTGTAGACTCTACCATAGAAATTGTATAAAAGATAAAAAATAATTCCCTAGGCAACTTCACATGTTTTAAGTTCTTAGTCTTTTAGAACTCTTCACATATAGTCATATCTGCTGTTCTGTCTCACTCTGCTGCCTCTTCACAGGCGTCCCCGGCACCTCCCCGTTGACGCTGTCGGCCCCGCTGACCGACATCAAACTTCTCCGCTCCTTCTGACTGGACTTGGGTTCCACCTTCGTAACTCTGAACCTGCCCACAGAGAGGACGGTGACCTCTCCTTGGCGCCTCGGGCGGCCCTCTTTGGACTTGTTGGTGGGTTTTATGAAGTGCCACCGCTTGTGCCTACAGCGATGGCACACGTCCTGCTCGACGGGACCCCTACTGTGTGCAGATGGTGGCCGCAGACGTGCTTCCCGGGGGTGCCCCCCGGTGACAAGGGCGCGGGGCTCACCGGCGGGCTCCCGGGAGGGCTGGGCGTCACTGGGCTTTCAGGATCACACACGCTGTTATCTGCTACCATTGCCGCTAAAACATCAACATTTGCGTCGTTTTTCATGATGTATTGGACAATCTGCCCAACGGTGTCACTATTTTCATTTACACTGTCGTTCAACTCTATCTTTTCAACCTTTTCTCCTTCAACATCTTGCTCGGCTTCTGTTGTACATCGATAGCCCTTCTTCTTCAGCAGGTGGCAAATGAGGACGCCAAAGAGACCCATGACGAAGACCACAGGGACAAGGGCATAAACGATATATTCCGCGTGTCCATTCCCAGTGTTGTTCGTGGGCGAGGGTGTCGTCTGGGTTTTGGAGGGTAACGGATGGCCGCCACTATGATCCGAGGCGACTAGCGGCGAACTCACGGCGCCTCCCACGAAGACAGCAGCGGCGAGCACGGCGGGCCCCGGGAGTCCCCGCGGAGCCATCGCGCAGTCCCTTCGCCCTCCTCCGCCGGGGCGCCACGTCCCGGGCTGCCGCTTTGAGCGCAGCTCTGGGGTCCGCCTGCAGGCAGATTCTCTACTAGCTAAGTCACCGGGGAAGACCAAGAATACTGACTGGAATGAATAGTCTAGCCCTTCTGCAGTGGATCTTCCCAACCCAGGAATATTTTTTACCTGTTGCTTCTCACTTAAAACTCCTTTCTACACTTTCAGAGTCTATCCTGGAAATGTGGGGAGGGTTTTCTTTCCTACAATCCATTTATGCCTTGTCATACTGGTTTAATTTGTTAAACATGGCCAGTGTTTTGTCTGCTTCACTGGGCAACTTTCTCTAAAGCCTGAATTACTGCTCTCTTTGAACTCTGGCTGAGACAGCATCATTTTCTCCAGGAGCTGAGGTGAAGGATGACATTTTATTCTAGGAAGAGCTACTCTATTGTCAAGTTTAAGTGGAAAATATCTCCTATGACTCTTTCTATTTAATATCATTGAAAGTTTTCCTGGCAACAAATTCTCAGCTACTCCTTAATCATATCACTCTCAATGATATGCTGGCTACCTACCCCTACAACATTCGGAAGTCCATCATTTTGCCTAACTTTCTTTAACCTCTTGTTAAGTTATACAAGGGCATTTTCATATCCCCAGTGTGAATGCATGCATGCTGAGTCACTTCAGTCATTTCAACTCTTTGCAACCCTATGGGCTGTAGCCTGCCAGGCTCCTCTCTCCATAGGATTATCCAGGAAAGAATACTGGAGTGGGTTGCCATGCCCTCCTCCAGGGGATCTTCCTGACCCAGGGATCAAACCTGTGTCTCCTGCATCTCCTGTAGCTCCTACATTGCAGGCAGATTTTTTACTTCTGAGTCACTGGGGAAGAAGCCCCCTAACTCCAGCATCCTATCCCAACCTCCAAATAATTCCTTTTAATTGAATTATCTAATTGGTTCCTGTTTGTGTGTATATGGCATTTTATACTTAAGCTTTATTTTCCTTTTAAAAGATAAAAATCCTGCCAGCTGGAAGGGCGGTTTCAGGATGGGGGGACAGGTGCATCTGTGGCTGATTCATGTTGACTCATGGCAAAAAAATCAGAGCATTGTAAAGTAATTATCCTCCAATTAAAATAAATTAATTAATTAAAAAAAATCCCACCAGCACTGCTATACAAAAGTCTATGCCATATATTATCTAATCTCTTTTTCAACTTTCTACTCTAAAACTAAAATCATGTTTTTTAAACAAATCACAACAGATCAAAATATTCTTAAAAATGAACAACATAAGTCTCAGTTAGATAGAGTTCGGAGAATAGAAGGAGGCGCTCTCATGCTCCGTGAAAAGAGTGATTCCAGTAGGAGGAAGTGATACTTCCTTCTTCCAGGCAAGGACTTAGCATGTGAAAAAATCATGGACTCTTCTATTGCTCTCCTTTCATTGCAATTCTCCGCTAATCCTGAATAAGCCTTTTTTTTTCCCCCCTGGAGAATTAGCTGACAGTCTATTTGTTTTAGGTCAACTATTCTCTATAGTGGTTGAATATGATCTCATTATTTAGGTTTGATAGGTAAACATAAATTACAGAATCCCTACCTAACAATCTATGCCATAATACATAACTGAAATTTTCAAAATTTTGTTTCTAGAGTATGTAATAAAAATAAAATTGTTAAAACTCCCATAATAAATAATCATCATAGTTAAATACCAAAAAGTAGTATAATATAGCAAAAACATATTAGCGTATCTTCCTCTAGATTGTTACTTAATGAAGGAGAATTAGCTCTAATTTTGGAGCCATAATTTTTTTCCTCTATGTTTCTTTCCTTTCACTTATTTAACTATATTTTTTCCCTGGTGATGGATCAAAAATCTGAAATTGCTAGCAAAATGTACTCTAAAATGGAAATGAACTCATGTTCATGTTTTCAAAGGTAAACATATTAATGACAAATGAACTGTCAGTAAAATTCATACAGAAATGTTATAGTTTTAATCTTCATACCTACACACATATGGAGGAACCACTGATTAGAGACTCTCAGCATTTGGTTATGCATAATTGATTGAAAGGAGTTGCATAAAGACATGTTGAGATGAAAAAAATAGGAGTTCCCTCTTGTTCTCTACTCTCCATGGCACAAGAAATTTAGCTACAAAGAGAAGACCAAGCAAATGAGAACAATCCCATTTTTCCCAAAGAAAGCAAGTTCAAAACCAAGTAAATTCTTCAAAACAGAGCCAACACCCCAATCTCACATCTATAATTTGCTTGAAGTTATTTTTAGTTATAAATCCTATATTATTCATTTACTAAGAGGTGACCTTAGAATGGGTTACCCTGCACAAACAATTACAAACGCTAAACTTCATAAATCATACAATCCAAATCAAATTTCTATAATATTCTGTTCCCTCTTTACTGATACCAATATAAAATACTTAAAATATGCAAAAAGAAAATGCACATAAAAGCAATAAAAAATTTTAAAATACTATAAAGCATCTATGGAAATAATTTTCTCCCACTTTCAGTAATTCAGAGCTGAGACCAGATACTTTGTTTGATTATGTGCTTAATGTGCAAGATAAAAACCATTAATATAATATGCATATCTCAAAATACCTTAGGCTGTATAGTGTAGGGAGAACCAATCCAAAAGTAAGATGGTTTTTTGTAATAAAATGGTAAAAAGAAACTAATGAAAATTAGATACATGGCTTAGATGAAAATCCTGAAAATTCTCAAATGGTTTCTTAAAAAGAGTAATGTTTTGGTCAGGAAATTCACTGGTTATGACCTATATATTTGTAATAACTACTAAAGCAACTAATCCATACATTCATTAACATTTTCAATAATCATATCTCAAACTTTCTAATTATATATCATTTGCATAACTCTTCATATGTTTGTTTCATAGGTGGTTTTATAGAAATATTCATTGAAACCAAGGATCAAATGTGAATGATCAACCAAGTAACAGTTCCTGTAGGAAGACAAAAACTTTGCCTCAGTAAACTGATTCCAGGTGTCCCATGTGAAAAACAATAACATATCCAAACAGATTAATCAATAACTGCACTATAACTACTCTTCATAAAACTCCCAATGTGCCCAATTCATAACAAGGATTTTTTTCATTTGTTTCACTATTTAATGTCTTTAACTCTATTAGGGAAGGAGTAATTTTTCTCATATATATTTTTGAGTTGCATCAGTTATGTTCTGTTTTAATGGTTGAAAAATTATATCAAGTTTTTAATTTTCATTTGAAAGTTGAAATATTTTTCTGAAGTAGTCTGATAGTTGGCTTAAAACTCAACATTCAGAAAACTAAGATCATGGCATCTGGTCCCATCACTTCATGGCAAATAGATGGGGAAACAACTGAAATAGTGACAGACTTTATTTTCTTGGGCTCCAAAATCACTGCAGATGGTGACTGCAGCCATGAAATTAAAAGATGCTTGCTCCTTGGAAGAAAAGCTATTACCAACCTAGACAGCATATTAAAAAGCAGAGACATTACTTTGCCAACAAAGGTGAGTCTAATAAAAGCTGTGTTTTTTCCATTAGTCATATATGGATGTGAGAGTTGCACTATAAAGAAAGCTGAGCTCTGAAGAATTGATGCTTTTGAACTGTGCTATTGGAGAAGACTCCTGAGAGTCCCTTGGATAGCAAAGAGATCCAACCAGTCAATCCTAAAGGAAATCAGTCCTAACTATTCATTGGAAGGACAATGCTAAAGCTCAAACTCCAATACGTGGGCCACCTGATGCAAAGAATCAACTCATTGGAGAAGACCCTGATGCTGGAAAAGATGGAAGTCAGGAGGAGAAGGGGATGACAGAGGATGAAATGGTTGGATGGTATCACTGACGGGATGGACTTGAGTTTGCGGAGGCTCCAGGCGTTGGTGATGGACAGGGAAGCCTGGCGTGCTGCAGTCCATGGGACTGCAAAGAGTCGGACACAACTGAGCGACTGAACTGAGTCAGATCATGCATTTGAAATTTATTCATAAACATAATAGTTTTTAGTTTATTTATTTTAATTTTTAATTCCAAACTCCCAGTGGAAAGTTTGGCTACATAAAATGTATCTCATTGGATTGGACTCTGGAGCATGACTCAAATTGCACAGTTTTTTTCTTTTTTCTTTTTTTGGTTCAATGTTGGGTGGGCAGCTTTTTGCACTTTTGGATATGGCGAACTTAATGTAGGAAGTGTGTGCCTCTGGGCATTGTAATGACTGGGTGGTGACCTACCTAGATATTATTTACAGGCTAGTGAGCTCATCTCCAGCTGCCTAAGTTGTCTTGACATCAGCTTACTCCAGGGGCTTGCTATAGTCCATTTGACAATAGTCTGTGCCCAATAATATGTTTGCCTATGAATGCCTGTCTTAAGTTCCAGTTCTTGGAAATTCAAATCATTAGGCACTTAATTGGAGAAGAACTAAAGAACCTCTTGATGAAAGTGAAAGAGGAGAGTGGAAAAGTTGGCTTAAAGCTCAACATTCAGAAAATTAAGATGATGACATCTGGTCCCATCACTTCATGGCAAATAGATGGGGAAACAGTGACAGACTTTATTTTGGGGGGTTCCAAAATCACTGAAGATGGTGACTTCAGCCATGAAATTAAAAGACACTCCTTGGAAGAAAAGTTATGACCAACCTAGACAGCATACTAAAAAGCAGAGACATTACTTTGTCAACAATGGTCCATCTAGTCAAGGCTACAGTTTTTCCAGTAGTCATGTATGGATGTGAGAGTTGGGCTATAAAGAAAGCTGAGCTCCAAAGAACTGATGCTTTTGAACTGTGGTGTTGACTCATGAGAGTCCCCTGTACTGCAAGGAGTTCCAACCAGTCCATCCTAAAGGAAATCAGTCTTAAATATTCATTGGAAGGAGTGATACTGATGCTGAAACTCCAATCTTTTGGCCACCTGATTCGAAGAACTGACTCATTTG